GGCGTCGCCGGGGCCGCTCTGGGCCCGGGGCACGGCCGCCGCCCTCACACGACGAGCGCCGTGTGCTTGCTTTGCAGAGGCCGCAGACTCGCCCATCGTCGTACAGCCCGCGTCCGCCACAGAGACCACCCAGCTCACGGCCGACTCCCACCCCAGCTACCACACCGACGGGTTCAACTAAGTCCAGGAGCAGCTGCGACGGAGGACAGCTCGGCCCCCGGCCACTTCACCCTTAGAACCACGGAGCGTAGTCCCAGAGATGGGGAGGGGGGCAGCTGCCGGCCCACCGGGGCCCTTCCCACCTCTGCGCCCGCCCGCCCGTCGCCCCCACACGTGAAGTGCGTCGCATGCAGTATTTAAAGCAGTTAGCTACGGTCTTCTTCTTCTTTTTCTGTTTCCTTCTTTTTTAATAGCATGTATGGGGTTCTGTTCCATGTCTGTGTTGTGGACGTGCGGCGGCGTGACCGCGTTAACCGGACGGCGGAGCCTCCTGGGGCTTTCCACTCGCCGCTCCGACCTCGGCTGCGTGGTGCCTCCCAGCGGGGCGGGCTGCGCGGGAGTGGGTGTGTCAGCCCCCCCGAGTCTCAGCACACTCCTTTCCCGTGTGTCGGTGGGGGCCGGAGGCAGGTGCTGCCGGGCGGGAGCTGGGGGGTCTGACGCCACCCCGTGCTCTCCAGCTGTGCGCACACAGGCAGAGCCTCTGGACGCAGTGTCGGGAAGGAGCTGCTGTGCCCTCCCTTTGCCCGGTGCCCTCGGCGTTTCCGTGCTGTTGGTTTGTGCGGGTCTGTTTGCCGTGGTTGCTTGGCCTTGTGGCCGGGTTTTTCCCATGGGCAGGTTTGTTGTGGAAAGTGTGGGAGTCTCTACTGACCCCAAGACCACGTTTTCTACCTGGGTGCAGCCTCGGTCTCCATGTCACATGGTCTTGTGAGCATGCTCCCTCGCCAGGCTGTGGGAGGTGGTTCTTCCAGGCTCCCACACGTCCCCAGGCCACGAGCTGGATTGATGGGGCCACATTCCTCCACCTCCTCTCCCCTTCGGCCACCCTCCACATTCCTTCAGGCCCCCCTGGCCGCCTGGTGGTCCTTTCTGGATCTCTAAGCACCACAAATGGTAGCAGTGGCCCAGTGTGCTGTTGTTAGAGGGGCTGACCGTCCAGGTTGCTGGTGGAGCGTGGCTGAGCAGCCCTGGGAAGCACACGTGGGGAGCACAGCCCTCTTCTCTGTGCTGTCCAGGGCTCCTACCCACCCCACTGTCCATCATTGCCTGTGCCCTTCAGTCACCGTTGATGGTTCAGGCAGAGCTAGAGACAGGTTCCTGGAGGAAGGACCAGCTGGACCAAAGGCACAGCCTGGTGCCCTTGGGTTGTGAGCCTGCAGCCTGACCGTGGAGCCCCCCACTGCCCGTTGTCTTGAGCAGCACCTTTTGTGAACTGTTGGAAGTCAGTCTTTCTTGTCTGTGTCCCAGAACTTGTGGGTGGTGCCCCTGCTGCAGGAGACAAGGAAACGGGTTATGATGTGCCCATGCTGGCCCAGAGTTCACAGTGGCCCCCACACCCCCAGCAGCCCTGGATGTGCTGTGGCTCCCTGTTGGACCTGCACAGGTCACCGGAGACCCAAGTGGTTTCCGCAGAGGGAAGCAGCGTTCCGCTGCTGAATGTCTCCCGCGTGTCCAGTAGGTGAAGAACAAGGACGACGATGTCGGCTCCGACGCACCAGAGCATGTTCCTGATGCCCACGGTTTCCACCACCGCCTGCTCCCCACCCCGCGCACCTGCTGGGCCTCAGCCCTTGTCTGCCCACCCACAGCTGTGCCGAGAGCAGGTTCTTGTTGGCCGGAAGGGGCCGGAGGGGCAGCAGTGTCCGTGCAGAGCGTGGACAGGCTCTGAGCGCAGTGCTGGCTGAGGCCGGCTCTGGCCGGGCTGGTGCAGTTGCAGCCGCTCCCAGGTCCTTGGGCAGGTGTTTGGTCCCCCCCCCTTTTTTTGGGGGGGGTTTTGGTTTTTGTTCATTAAAATGATCATGAAGACATTCAGTGAGAGGAAAAATATGCACTGTGATCTTAAATTAGAAATAATTTGCTAAAATCAGACATCATGAAAGGTTAAGGAATCCATTGACACCCTCCCCCCACCCGGCACAAGGGAGGAGGTAAGACCACAGGGCCAGTCCCAACACAGCAACAAGAACGCAGCCTTTGTGATGTTTCTGAAAATTACTTTCTGAGCTGTTTTTCGCTGGAATGGTCAAGAACCAAGTTCAAAGCTGGGACTTCAGGTAGCAAGCCTCCCCCCTGTGGGGACCACTGCAGCTCCGTGGTCAGGAAACCTCAAGGCCCACCACATGTGTCCGAGCGAGTCCTTGATGGCGTCTTCCACTTGACAGAACGTGAAGCTCCACTGGGGACCAGGGTGCTGGGAGAGGGGCAGGTCTGGAAGGTTGTTGAACCCAGGCTCCTGTAGAATTTGTAAAAACTAAATAAATCATGACAGTGATGATAACAATCCTTAAGATGGTGGTAATGATTGCCTAAGGCCCAGGGGCCCCAGGATCCAGATGGGGGCCTAGAACTCTCCCCGCCTGGCCCCGAAGGCATTTCCACCTGGTGATTCCCAAGCGGAGCCCCTTCCAAAGTCGGCTGTACTCACTGTCAGTCCTGGTTGCGTTTCCCTTTTTCTTGAGTGGTCTGTGTATTTCCCTGGTGAGCAGAGTTGCTGAGTCTGGAGGCGTGCCCCGTTCACTGGCCACGTGGGGGCGACCCCCTGCCCACCGCGCAGCAGTGAGAGCACCCGGGTCCTCACTCTGAGGCTGCCCGGAGCTGGGGCCACGTGCGGCCAGGGAGTGCTGAAGCCCATCCCGTGTCACAAAGTGCGGGGCTCGTCCCAGGGGGCCCCCAGAGCAGCCGGTGGCCGGCAGGAAGCACGGGAGGGCCCTGCGGGGTGTCTGCTGGTGTCTGCTGCCGTGTACATTTCTGTTCCTGCTTAGTGATGTGGTTGGTCTTCTTTCGTTTTCCCTTTGGCTTTCTTCTACTTTTAAACTGCTTTAGATATTACTGCTCAGTGTGTGTGAGCCTTCCTAGTTCCCCGGTCAGTGCCGCGGGGGAAGAAGCCGCAGTGTGCTGTGCTTAGAGCAGGTGGCCTTTCCACACTGTTGGCCACCTGGCGTGGCCACGAGGCTCCTGCTCGGGGAGAGGTCGTGTCAGGACTGTCGCTGTGCGTTCTGACTGTAGATGGGCCGATCGGGTGAGCTCGTGCTGGAGGAGTGCCCACTGGTGCAGCTGGTGGTCTGGGGAGACGCGTGGACTCCCAGCACCTGGCCCTTGGGGTTGAGGCCGCCAGCAAGTGGGGTGGGCGCCGGCACGCAGGCAGAGCTCGGGGGCCCTGCCCGTCCTTCCCTGGCTCTCAGCGTAGCCCCGCAGAGGGACAGGTGTGAGTATGGAGAGAGCGGCTGATCTTCTTCCTTTCTCAACATGCTGATCTGTGAGCCCATGTGACACAGGACCGCCCTGTTTGTTCTTGTTACTTTGGTTGTGAATCCTCCTGTGGAATTGGCAGAAGCTACACTTGTCCTGCCCCTGCGAGCACGGTTGGCATTGTCTGTGCTGTAGGTGTTGGCAGTGGCTGTCCCTGTGTGTGTACGTCCGTGTGTACCCCACAGCGGGTGTGCCTGTTGCTGTCCAGCGGTCGGCTCCAGGACGGCCTTGGGTTTCTTGGGGAGTCGGCTCGAGATCAGGGTCCTGGTGGCAGGCTCCTTTGCCGGGTGCGCAGAAGTAAATGCCGACCCGGTGCATGCGTAGGATTTTTGTGGACGGCCGGCCGCGGTGCCTGCCTGCACTGGGGTGACCGCATGCTGCCAGCAGCGCCTTCTCCGGGGAAGGGCGCCGGGGCCGCCGAGGGGCGACTGTCCCAAGTGCCACAGTCGTCCCTGGGAGCCCACCCGGCATGCTCACCTGACCTCCAGGGGCGTGTCCTTTTGCGACATCTAGGTGGCTGGAAACCCTTCCCTCCCTTGAAACATTAAAACCAATTTTCTGAGCATCAGAAAGGTCATGACAAAGGGCATTCGAAAGGGGACTCTGTCCTGACCGCAGGTCTGCCTTGGGAGGGGTCCACTGGGAAGGAGGAGGGACCACACAATGCCATCCTGCAGGAAGGGGCTGGGTGCAGGGGCCTACAGGCAGTAGCTTTTGGTAGATTTTGTTTCCCTAGAAAATGGGACAATGTTTCAAGCTAAGTGAGGGGAGGCAGTTTGCACTGAAATAAATAAATATATATGTGTGTGTGTGTGTATACACCCACACACACACACATCGTTTTAAAATACTAAATGCAAATGCATGGCAAGCAACTGTCCGTGCGCGCTGGTTTCTGGTTTCTTCCTGTTGCTGGAATCCCGCAATGCTAGGTGGGTGTACCTCTGACCCCGACTCCCATGTGCACCCCTGAGGGCCAGGCTGGAGGGTTAGGATGGTTCCTTGGTGATCTCCATCTCGTATGTCTGAATGTTGACCTTAAGGTAAAGATAACTGTTGTAAAATAAATGTTTTCACTGCAAACCAGGCATGTGTCTCATTCAGTGACCCCCGCAGAGTCCTTTTGAAATGGGGGGGTCGTGCACAGAGGGGCAGGGGTCTCACTCCCGCCTGCCTGGCCCAAGTGTGGACAAACGCCCCTCCTAGGTTCTCTTTTCACCTCCATCGTCTAAATACCCCAAGTGGAGGGGTGCCTGGGTGGCTCAGTCGTTAAAGCATCTGCCTTCGGCTCAGGTCATGATCCTGGAGTCCTGGGATCAAGCCCCACATCGGGCTCCCTGCTCAGCAGGAAGCCTGCTTCTCCCTCTCCCACTCCCCCTGCTTGTGTCTCTCTCTCTCAAATAAATGAAATCTTAAAAAAAAAAATACCCCAAGTGGAGTGAGGAAAGGGTCCTGTAAGCCCGGGGTGGCTTGGACTGTGGGTTCTGCAGCCCTCCCGGGACAGGTCCTTGCTTCCGCTCCCCCCCTCCTATCCACCTATCGTTACCTCCTCCTACCACCTCAGCCCGGAACCATCCCTGCCGCCCACACGGGCATCACCTTCCATCCTCCTGCATGAAATAAGGCCGCCGGGCTGCAGGGATCTGGAACAGCACTCCGGCCTGAGCCTGAGCCCTCAGCTACGCAGCAGGCCTGCCCTCAGCTCGTAGCACAAGGTAGACGAAGGGTGACGGCGGGGTCCCTCATGCCTGGGCCTGTGCTCCGTGCGGAGCCTTGTCCACCCTGTGGAGGAGGGCTTCCTGGGGTGGTCCCACTGCCTGCTCCACCCAGGGCATCAGTGTGGGGTACACTCGCGTCCTCATGGCTGGACACGATTGTCGTGTCTGCCGGGGTCACATCCATGCCAGCGATGAGCTGGGACTGCATCCCAGCATCTCCCTGGGAGGGCCAGAGGGGAGGATGGTCATGACGCCCAGGGGATTCTGAGAGCTGAGCAGGGCCTTGCCGGGGACTCTGCAGCTCACAGCCGGGGGTTTCTGGCCCCACTAAAACCACTTCTGTGCCTCTCTTTTCTCTTCCCTGAGATAAATGTCTGGTCGTGGACTCTTGCAGGAAATGCTGTCCCTGCCTCAGGGCATGTGTGTCCCTGGGGGTTCTGCACACACTGGGGTGGGTGGGGCCTGACCCTGGCCTTAGGTGGGGGAGGACACCTAGACCCAGGGGGCCCCATGGGTGTGACCACGTGGCCCAGGCCACAGGTGCCACTTTCCACACCGTTTCAGCAACTGTCTCTCTCATACCTGGGACCCCCTGGGGTCAGGGTGCTGGCTCTTCGGTTCCCTTGACTGAACTCAGGGCAAGACAGAAATAGTTTGAAAAAAAGCAGCATAAAAGTACTAAGAATGATGTAACAAGCACCTTGAAGGAAACCCTTCATCTAGGACATAGGGACTAGTGTGACTTGGATCTTCCATGAAGAAGAGAATGGCCTACAGTGAAGACCTGCATGTCCCTCCCCTACCCAGTGTCCCCTCCAGCCGGCCGGTGTCAGCATCCACAGATCCTAGTTCATTCCTGATTTTATTGATCTCTAAAGTCTTGCATAAAGAGTACTACACTGTACTGGGTCAGTATGAATTTTCATTCCGCGTAGGTTTTTCCAAGCAATCGCCCCCCATCTAGGTCTAGTTTATTCGGCTGCTGTACAGCATCATCCTGGGAATTGAGGGCAGGTGCTTGCTGGCCCTGCTCATTGAGGACATGGGTTTTCAGTTCTTTGCCGCTGACTAGGGCTGGGCTGCCGCGGGGTGTCCCCAGGGCACAGGCGCCCCCAGACTGCCTTGGTGGCTGGCTGTCCACAGAGTGGGAAGGCCCCTCCTCTCCTCCTCAGGCTTCTCAGACCTTGCTCTCTATGGGAATCTCACAGGGAAATAGGAACTAACACCAAGCCTTAATTAATGATGGGCATTCAGGGTGGTGGGCGATGGGACCTCGCTCCTCCCCCAGGCCCAGGGCCCCAACACCTGTACCCCTGATCTAGGGGACCGTGGGCGGGGGGCTGAATGGCACTACGGGGAGATTCCCGAAGTCCACACCCCCACGGCCAGTCTGGGAACTCTGGGCTCCTGGTGGAGGTCATGGTCGCCATGTGCGGACGTGGGTCCTAGGTGCGCGGCCCCCTCCCGCTCCCCACCTACCGCGAGGAGCGCGACCAGGAAACGGCAAGCCACGCGGGGCAGGTGTTGGGGTGCGGGGGGCGTGGCTTGCCAGGAGAGGTGGGGGGCTTGCCCGCCGCCGCGAGCTCCGTCACCATTTGAAACCACTTACGACACAAGCTAGAGGGGGCGCACGGGGCGCGGCGGGGGCAGGGGTCTTGGGACCCAGGGCACCAAGGCCATGCGCGAACTTCCTCTGGCTCAACACGGCCACGGCTGCCACTCCCCACTCCCCGAGAGACCCTCGCGCGGCCCCGGGGCCCCCCGGCGCCGAGACCAGCGCGGGCAGGACGCGGGAGGCGGGCCGCCGGGTCTGGAGGCGTCCCCGGCCCCGAGCCGGAGGGGAAGGCCCCGGCGGGAAGGACCCGCCAAGTCGCGGACACCGGGCTCTCTCTTGCTTCAAAGGGACCCTCTGCTCCTACTCAGACCCTGCTCAGCACCCCGGTACCCCACCCCCTCTCCGCACAGCTCCCGGGGTCTCCGAGGCCGCGGCCCCCTCCACCCTTGCCCGCTCGCCCCCGTGAGGGCCCCTCTCCGTCCAGGCTCCTGGTCCCGGGCCGGCCGGGTCGTGGTCGGGGCGCTCCCTCGGCGGCTCCGCCCGCGCCGGGACTCAGGGGCGCAGTGGGGGGCGCAGTGGGGGGCGGGGGAGATCCGGGAGGGACAGGGCCGGCGCTAGCTCCACCCCGGCCACTCGACGCTGGGGCGGATCTTGGGCCCCCGCTGGAAGCAGGGTGGTGACCAGAGGAGCCTGAGGACCTGCGCCCGGAGCCAGGCCCACCGGCCCGCAAGCCGACCCCGGATGTGTCGCTCGTGAAGTCGGTGTAGCTCCCACCCCAGCCCTTCCTCTGGCCCCAGCCTGTGGCGGTCGAAGAGTGGGTCCCCGTGCACCTCCATGTGCGAATTACGCCATTCTTGCTCTTCTAACCCAAGCCCAGCCCAAATCCACCCGCTCACCCCTGCCCTGCCCCTTCCTACCTCTGAATCTCCTGCTCAGACCAAACCCCCAGCTCCATCTTGGTGAGCCCGAAAGTCCCCAACCTCCTGTGTTGTCTCTGACCGTCTCCTGCCCTCTTCCCAGGATTCACCCTGGAGCATTTGGGGTCCAGGAATCTGGGCATCTTCCAGGATGCGTCTGGGCTCCAGGCGGCCCCTGCTGAGGCCCCAGGAGGGTTGGAGTCTTTCCCCAGGCCACGCCAGCCCCCAGCCCCTACTGATGACAGCCTGCTTGACCTGCTCCACTCAGCATGACAACCATATGTGCCCAGCGCTGGGTCTGGGGCCCCATCTCCTGGCCAGGGCGCGCCTGAGCTTCCCTTACCGCTTTATGGCGGCCGCTGCTGGGGAAAGGGGTAGCACCTCACAGGCTGACGAACCTGAGATTGACCCTGGAGACACCATTCTCAGGCTGGACAGTCCTGGAGGCACTGCCCAGGGACGGCGAGTGAAGCCCTCAGCAGGTGGGTGCATCGTGGGAGCTTCTGGACTAGGTATAGGGTGGTCTGCACCGCCCCCACCTCTCCCCCTATCAAGCTCTGAGGGTATGTCCAGGCTGTAGCTCCATTTTCCCAGCTCCCCTCAACTTCTCCCCCAGGCGCCTGCCCCGCCCCTCCCCCCAGCCTCTGCTGGGCCCCAGAGGAGCCCAGATGCCCAGAAAGGCAGCCCAAGGGCCACCTGGCTCCCAGCCCCCAGTCAGTCCGCCAGAGAGTTTCCTAGGGATGGGCTTGTCCATCCCTGGAGAGAAAGGCCCAAGCCTGCCCAGACTGGAATCCCTTGATGTATCTAGTAAGCTGTGTTGAGTGTTACCCCAGGAGGGTCTTGGACCTTGGTTCTGGTCCTATCTCTGGGACTAGGAGGCTCCCAGGGGCTGGAGGCATTGCTCCCTTTCATTGGCATCCTGAAACCCCTCTCCCTGTGCTGTTTGGAAAGTGACCCACTTCTACCACCGCCACAGGGGCCTGGCAGGAAATGGGCTCAAGAAGTCCCCTAGCCTGTGGCCTAACCTCCCCAAGCTGCCTTGGATGAGCGGACTACAGCCTGAGGGGGCAGATCCTCTGGTTCAGGCCTCCTGCCTCCCAATTCTGCCCTAGGCCCCCAGTGTTGTCCCCCCCAGGGGCTGGTGGCCGAGTTGGATGGGGGCAGCTGGGCCCTTTCCTTTCAGCTGAATCTGTGTGCCACAGCATGTGAGATGTGTGTGTGTGTGTGTTGGTACATGCATGTGCATGTGTGGGTTTGGTTTATCTCGGGGAGCTGGTCAGCGCCTAGCTGGACTCTGGGGAGGCCTCCAGGGAATGACCTAGCCCCTCCCTGGCCCCTGATTAACTGTCCCTTATCTGGGAAGACCTGGCTTGACAGAAAGGCATCTTCCTAGCCTCAGGGCCCCAGCACCCCTCCCAAGCAGGGCCCGGCCAGGTTCCCAGCACACAGCACGAGAATGGCAGAGTAAGTGGGGGCTCTGGAACATGGGAGAGGGGTCCACTCACCAGCTTGGGCAGGAGAAGCCCCTCCTGCTGACCTCTGGGCCCTGTGATGATTCTCTGCCCCTGGTGTCTGGCCACCCCTTGGACAAGCCTCTTGCCTTTATCTGCCTGCCCTTGGCCTGGCCCCCACCCAGTGACTTCCTGTCCCCGCCCCCACAAGCTTTTCCATGACATGGCCTTTGGTGAGGGGGGGACCAAGGAGACCAGGAGGGCAGGAAAGAGGCAAGACACAGGTCTGGACAACAGAGGAGTAGGGAGACTGGGGGTGCCTGACAGCCCATCCCCAGCAGCCCAGGGGTCTGCCTCATGCACACCCTACCCAGGCAGGCCTGCCACAGACAGGCTGTCTGGAGGGAGCCAGAGAAGCCTGCCTTTGTCCTCGAGCCCAGAAGCAATGAAGACAGGGCTGGAGGTGGGTTTCTGGCCCTGAACAGCATGGCTGGCCCACGGACGCTGTGTGGCCATCTCCCCTAAAAGTGGGGCTCTTGCCAGTGGTAGGGACCAAGGCTTCACTCCCTCCTACAGCCGCCCACACACTGATTTCCCCTGGGTTTCCTGACAGCACAAACACGTGGTGGGGGCGGGGGTGGTGGATGGCTGCAGAGGCTCCCTCTTGAGATCCAGAGCCCTAGGTCCAGGCCAGGGGGCCACCAAGTGGCCCACCTAGCAGAGCCAGAAGCTGTGGGCCCCAGCTCTGTCCTCCTAAACCTGACACTGAGCCTGGACTACAGGGAAAGCCCAGTGCGGGACCAGGAACGCCTGTTCTGCCGCTCATAAGGCGAGGTTCTGACCAGGCTCCTCAACTCCCTTCCTCCCCATGGTGCCCTGCAGCCTGGGGGCTGGGGCTACTCCTCATGCCCAGGTCCCAGGCAGGACAGCACCCGAGGGCCCCCAGCTAACCAGGCACGGCTTCATTTTCCCAAACTTTATTTTATAAAATGTATAGAGTAAGTTACAGCCGTCATACCCTTCTTAATTAAAATAAGTTAGGACATGTCTGTAAGCAAGGCCATGAGGCAGGAAGAAGCTGGGTGGCGGCAAGAGCAGGAAGGCTCAGGGCGGGCAGCTAGCTTGTGGAGGCCACTTCCTCCTCATCGCTGCCGTCAGGTGCCGCGTCCGTCCCAAAGTAGCGGTCACCGAAGTTACCTGGGGAAAGAAGCAGGCCCTTGTGGTGGGGACTCAGGCCCACCAGGCCCTGGTGCACCACTGGTCAGCCCCGGGCAGCCTCACCAATGCCTGGGATGATGCGGAACAGGTCATTGACACGCTTGTCCACTGCCGTGGTGATGATCCTCACTCGTGGGAATGCGTAGGCCACCGAGTGAACACCCATCTCGGCCATGAGCAGCGACAGCAGGAAGATCTTGTCCTCCGGAACATCATGGTCCTGCGCCGTAAGGGGCCAGTGTATCCCCACCCGGGCCTGCCACGCGCAGCCCCCCCGCCGCGCGCAGCCCCACGTGGCCACTCACCAGGAGCACACGCACAGCCATCATGGCTGCCGCGCCCGTGGACACCGTGCAGTCCATCAGGATCACGTGGTCGTCACTGATGTCCTTGGGCAGCCGCAGGTAGTGGAGCTGAGAGAAGCCAGAGTCAGAGCCGGCCCAAACCTGGAGCTGCCCTTTCGGCTCCCGCCCCCGCCCCTCAGGCGACCCCGCTGCCCCCTTCCCCGCCCTGATGTCCCTCCCCCAGGCCCCCCAGCCTCCCTCAGCCCCTGCCCTCTAGGCCCGCCGCCGCACCTCGGGCTCCCCGGTGAGCTGGTTGGTCTGGATGAGGATGGTGCCAATGCGCACGTCTTTGCACACAGCCCGCAGCGCCGGCTCCATGGTCTCACCCGCACGCAGGATGGACACGCCAGTGATCTGGGGGCCCGGAGGTAGGGGGAGATGAGCCGGCCGGACCTCCCACCTCCCGGGCCGCCCCAGCTCCGCCCCCGGGCTGCGCCGCAGCTGGTACCTGCTTCCCCGCATAGCACTTGCCCGCGTAGTCCTGCCCCTGCGGGGTCTGCACGACGCAGTCCTGCGCACAGAGGGCGTGGGGGCGCTCGTGAGCACGGGAGCCGCCCCCCGCCCGTCCCAGGTACCCGCCCCACACCCTGCTCCGTACCTGGAAGGGCAGGAAGGAGAGCGCGTGCTCAATGAGCAGCCGCATCAGCCTCTTGGAGTAGAAGATGAATTCATCACGGCTGGTCTCCTTGTCCCTGCGGACCGGCTGGGTTAAGCTGAGGTGTGGGCCGTCAGGGGCCCCCTCGCCTCACACAAGGGCCCTCACCTGATGATGGTGTGCATGCCCCGCACCTGCGGCGTGCTCTTGAGAACACTCAGCGTCCGGGGCAGGGGGTGGCACTGGTGCGCTGAGGCCAGCGCGGCCCTGGGAACACAAACCATTTGGGGACTCAAGAAGGGGTGTCTTCTCCCAGAGCCCCATCCTCCCACTCCGGACACTGTGTGGGGGCGCATGTGATGGGGATAATGAGCTGTGCAGGTGGGGCCGCCGCCTCCCTGTGGCTGATCTGGAGGGAGGGCCCCAACCCCCGAATACTCCCATCAGGCGAAGGTTGAGCAGAGCAGCTGACCATCAGGTGGGAAAGGGCGGGGCTGTGGTGTGAGCCTCCCCTCCCAGCCCAGATCCCCTCCTGCGCTTGCACGGAGAAAGCAAAAGGGGACCAGGCAGCGGGAGGGCAAAGGAATCTCAGCCCCCAGGATGGGCACCTGGTCCTCAATCCCAGAACATGTCTCTCTGGGGAACAGCTGAACTTCAGGACCAAGTCTCGCCCTGACCCTTCCCTCCAGGTGATGTACGGCAGCCCCCTCGGGAGATGCGGGCAAATCTGGCTCAGGGCCGGCCCTGCTGCACCATGCCCGGGGTGGGGAAAGGAGCAGCGGGGCGGGGCGGGGCGGGGCGGAGCAGAGGGGGCAGGAAGGGGCGGGGCAGAGGGCGGGGAGGGGCAAGGG